GCCATCGCTAGTAGGTTGGAGGCCATCGGCAGTAGGCTGGAGGCCATTGGAGGCCATCGCTAGTAGGTTGGAGGCCATCGCCAGTAGGTTGGAGGCCATCGCTAGTAGACCGGGTCGACCAGGGTTCGGTGACCGGTCAGGTGCTTTTGGAGAACTTCAATCACATGGTCGCCGCCTTTTGGGAGCTTCGGTCTTTTGATCAGGAAGTCTACCAGAAGGTCAAAGGGGCCATGCAGGCTGGAGTTGGTACAGTTGGTGGTGGTGCGTGGCGGGGGGGTTGATGGACCGGCCAGTCTCCTTGCCAAGTTTCAGAAGCTGGCCCAGTGATGTGAAACTTCTTTTCCCTGCAACAGACTGCCAGGTTTTGTGTTCTGTTGTATTCTCTCGGCCATTTTAGAGGCACACTTCGGAGATTCCGCCCCCGAACCCCGCGACACCCCGATTCCCAACCGAGCTGCATTCCACCCGAACCGTTCGAAAGCACACAAAGCGATTGAACCCGTTTGGACGTTTGGACCGTGGACCTCGGCTGTGCCGCTCGGTCAGGAGATCGACCGGAACTCCTTGGAGCAGGTGAAATACGTTTGCAACCCACGAAACAAGCTTACTGCTGAAGAGGAGCAGAAGTGTGTGGACGGTCTTTGGGAGTCGGCGCATCTGAGGGCCTTGGCCTTTCCCAAAAGTGCCTGACATGGAACGAGACCGCGAAGAAAGAAGAGCCTTCCGGTATTGGTTCGTTGTTTCTGTTCTTGCTGCGAATTTGGGGTGTCGGAGGGGCGCAGAAAGATCAGAAAGATCTGATCTCTGGAGCAGCGACTGGGGCTTGCAGCGGACTCCTTTGTGTTTCGATCTGTCCCTTCTCTTTCTCACAGTGCCACGGCTTTCATTCTTCCCGGCCGCGAGGCTGCTGAACCTGACAACCGCAAAAAGCAGCACAACGAGCCGCGGCTTGCCGCAATGGAGGTGTTTTGTAATTCCTTGGAGGAAGGAGTGCATTTCATAGGAATTTCCATGGGATTACCTATAAATTCTTTTATGATCCTTCATGGGTTCCTGGATTCCTTTAAGATTCAACCCCACCCTGCTGGCTTCCTGCTGGATGCCCTGAGGACCACGCCGGAGTTGGAGGTGCGCACAAAAGGGTGAACTGCACGGAAGAACAGGGCGTTCCGGGATTGGTAGCTCGTAGCATCTCGTAGCTGTGATCGGCCTCTCGGGCTGTTCCCCTTTAGTTTTGAACCGACTTTCTCTCAACTGAATCGCATGATTCCAAGTTCCAATTCTTTGTTGCCCTTTGGTAGACTTGTGAGGCTGATGCCTTGCTGGAGGACGAGCTGGATGCCTCGCTGGCGCGGGCTTTATCCCTCTTGAGCCAGGGCCAACAGGCGCAGCAACGGCAGGGGTTCTGCGCTGGTTCCAAGCTTTTTCGATCGCGCCGGCTGAATGGGAGCTCGGTTATTTTGTTGGGCAAGCCAGCTTGGCTGTTGCGAAGCTGTTCAGCCCAAGTGATCCGAATCCACAGGAGAGCTTGGACTCTTTGGACGATGATTCGGAGGCTTGGAGCATTGGAGCAGTCTTTTTTTGGAGCTTGTGACATGGTGACATGGAACTCATGCAACTGCAATTGTGTTTGGTGCCACTGTTAAAGCTTCAGGTCAATCTGTGCACTCCAACAGAGTCATCAGAGAGTCTCTTTCTGGCTCTGTCTCACGCCTGCCTTTCGAAGCCTCACCAAAGAGCCCAAGAACAGACGCCCACAATGAACCTGAACTCCCTTACTCAGACGCCCACAAGACTCAACCCCTTGGAGTTCTCCCTCAACCGTCACTTCATCCTGCGCACTGGCACTCGTTCCGTTCTTCCCACCCCTTCGGCCGGGTTGAGCCGTCGGGTCGGCCGGTGCACTGGTCGTCCCCTGCGCCAGGCCAATCCGCAGGAGCGCCTCTTCCGTCGTGCCTTCCTGCAGATCATGGAGCGCTCCGAGGAGTCCTTCCAGGCGAGGAGGGTGATAAGAACGGGGAGGATGAGAACGGGTGAAAGAGGATGAAAGAGGGTGAAAGAGAAGCTAGCATTTCCTTACTAGGAACAAGGGCATCGCTACTAGCAAGAAGAAGCTACTACTTTCGAACTTGAGGCCGTGATTCGCGAAGCCGTGACGGGCTCGGAAGAGCCACTCCTGCTAGGTCTTCCGCAGCGTGCTGCAGCTTACGCCAGCCACGGTCTTCCTGGAGGTGGGGATGTCTGTCTGAGTGATTCGCTTCGCTCGCAACAGTGCCACGGTGGAACTGGTGGAGTGTTTGGGACGAAGTTGGAAGGATCCCCCAGACTCGAGGTGTACATGTACAACCCGGACCTAAAGGAGTGCGGAGGTTGCAAAGGAGTTCGCAGGTTTCTCTGAAGAGGAGATCTTTGGCAGGTTCGCATTTGAGATGAACGTGCCATCTACTAGCTACTAGTAACAAGTGCATCGCGACATACTGCTACTATTAACAAGGGCATGACTACTAGTAGCAAGAAGCTAGCAGCTACTAGTAAGAAAGCATCGCTACTAGATTTGAGAGTATTTCTCTCTTAGGACTCCTTTCCTGCTCCGTTCTCACCGAGGTCGACCACCAGCCCTTGGTGCTGGAGCGACTCACAGCCTTTGCAGGTGACCGGTGAGTGGTGACAGGTGTCCAAATGACTCGGGGCCTTGGGGATAGTCAAGGCAATATGCACCTTGTGCCAAGGCCAGGTGGATGAGCAGAGCTTCCGCACTGAGGAAACCTAGAAAAAAGGGATGCCGGGAATTTGGCCTCAAGTCAGGCGCATCAAGTCAGGATTTGCCTCAAACTTTGGAGTCCAAGTCCACCCCCCCTCGTCAGACCAAGTCGATGGGATCCCTCTTGGAATCTGAAGACTCGGTCAGGTGCCCTCAGCGCGCCGGAGACGCGCTGCAGCGCGCAGGCGCTGGGGGTGCAGCTGGCCTTGCGCTCCAAGGACTCCAAGGACTTTGTTTGGGAGGCCGGATGATGTGTGAGGCGACATCACCCCTGGAAGATGTTCCTTTTTTGTATTCTTTTGTTGTGTGTGTATCTTTACATAGTCTTCACTCCACCTGTTTTGCTGATTCGAGTCGCAAGTTGACTGCCTGAACAGATGGAACATCCCACGCAGAAAGGAGGGGAAGATGTGAGGATCTCCGAACTGCTCCAACCCTCCAGATGGTGAATGGAAAACTACCTGGTTGAACGGGGTTGGGCGGAAAACGTCTACCATGCCCTTGAAGACCAAAGAGCCAAAGAGTACCCAAAGTCAAGAAATGATGTACCATGATTACTATACCCAAAAGGTGCCTGGAAAAGCTCACAAAGGGATTTTCTTCATTTTTTGTCGTTTTCTGCGACCAGGTTTTCCAAGTTCTTGGTGCTGCGCAGAGCTCGGGCCGCTTGCAGAGCTTGTCCTCGGCAGTGGCCATGGCGGGCTTGGGCCACTGGCGGCGCTTCTGGGGCGACGCTGGCGCCGCTTCTTCGGCGCTGGGCGGCTCTTCGGCGGACGCGGTGGACTCAACGGCCCTGGATTGGATGGTCTCTTCTTTGGCAGATCAGGAGTGAGCCTGTGGGTAGATCGAGGGAAACACTTGGGGGGGTACCTCCCACAGAGAGGGCGGAAACACTGGGAGGCAGTAAAGGAACCGGTGTCATCCATCTACCTGCAAGCAAAAGAACTCCAAAAAAAAACCAATAAACACTCTCTCTCTCTCTATGTATATAAATACATATTAAGATTGCACCGACCAAGCATGCTCAACTTCTACTTGCTTGTATCCGACTGCTTTGTTTCTTTCCAGGAACTCTACAAGAAATACCACTTGGCCATGGAACATGCTGAGAAGGTCCTCACTGGCTCCGACCAAGAGGATTGGGTTTTGGAGAAGGCAGCGGATGTGGATGTGGAGGATTTTTTCCAGGGTCGTACTAGTACGGGAGTTGGGAGAGCGCCATGATGGGCGATGGGTCATGGGCCATGTAGTACAGATACAATAATTATAACTAGAGAGAGAACTCCAACATAACTCCAACGTAGATAACTCCAACATATATAACTGTAGATGACAAGTGAATTCAACATAGATAAGTCTTTCCTTCCTACAACTGTCTTGAAGATGTCAATTTGGGACCACTATAGCTCTTATTGTAGTGTGCAGAGCTTGCGAAGACGATCAAATAGTTTACAACAGGTGGCAATGAGCGGATGGTAGGGTAAAAGGTTCATGTTGACTGAGCCAACTCCCATTTGACGAACAATTCCAGGCCTCATGGATTCCACAGGTTTTGCAAAAGAACCGTTAGGACGCTACTAGGAGCAAAGGGCATCGCTACTAGGAGCAAGGACGCTACTAGGGGCTCCTGGCATCGCTACTAGGAGCAATGTTCGCTACTAGGGGCTCCTGGCAACGTCTGACCTTCAACGCTCGGTGGGTGGGCCGCTGGGCCAGGCGCGGTACATCCGCATGGAGTCTGAGCGCCGTGCCACGCTGGTGCGCTGCAGCTGCGCCAGCACGGCCTTGGTGGCTTTGCGCGCGCGTGGAGTGGCACCGTGGGGGGCAGCGCAAGGCCAGAAGGGGGTCTTCAGATTTGGTTGAGTGGCATCAGGATTCGGTGTTTAGCACAGTGTCTAGCAATGGCAACTAGGCACTTTTCCAAGCAAAATAGATCTTGGATTGGAGAGGGCTTGCAATCCCCCCCTCCAAAAACAACGTGCCTGTCCATCGATGGCGGCAGTGCCTCAGTTTGTCGTTTAGGCCGCGGCCTCCTGCAGCGTGTGGCGTCGGTCCTTGCCACTGCGCCGCACACCATGGAGCCGCCCTTCGTCAAGCCAACACCACCGGAGCTTCTGCTCTATGCCGCAGACACCTGGACAGATGGTGGGAGTCGGACGGAAAAAAAACACAAATTGGCCCGGTTTCCAGAGGGTTTGGCTGGAATCTAGGTGGTGTTGGGCATTCCAGTGGAGAGAGCCAGATGCCCGCAGCAGCCTCATTTCCAGGGTTGATTTTCAATGTTTGCACCCCCATACTTCTAGGATTTCGACTTGGAATATGTATTCATGTAGTAGTTTGAGATTCTAAGATCCCTGGGGTTATATAAGAGCTTTTTGGGATGTTGCCAGGTGGTTGGTGGGGGACATCACCGTACTGGCACAAACAATGGTTGCACTCCTGGTCCATCGAACCAGAGAGGGGGGGGTTAAAGCACGGTTCCTTCAAAAAGTCCATGAACTAAAGCAAAGGGACTTTACATGTTGTTCTGCATCTTGCGGCAGTCAACAGCAAAAAGGGAGAACACGCTTCAAGAAACCTGGGACGAATCCCAGCAGGATTTACAAAAGGTTTCTCTTAAAGGACTGGTGGGGAGTTGTGTCAAGACATACGGGGTGTACGGTGTACTTGGCTCGAGTGCAGCCTCCTTAGAAAAAGAGTGCCTAGGAATTCCTTCACCTCTTGCTTCACCTGGCCGATGAGAGTGAGGACGAGGCCTGGTGCATGGGATTCCGAACCGGCCCAGGTTGTGTTTGTTTCTACTTTGCAGCGCCTTTTGTTTCGACTGCGGACTATGGTCGAGTCAGAAGTCTTCAGACCTGTGACAAGCGGTCGTCGGTCTTGACCACGTTTGTGCCCTCTTTTGATTGCACAACCTAACAACCGCACAATCTGCAGGACGGCCTGGCAGGGACCTAAGCTGCCTAAGCTCTGACATTCCCAAGATGCCTTGCTCTTGTTGGGAATGTCAGGATGGAATCCCGATTGGGTTATAGTATCACCTTTGACAAACACATGTTATCGATTTTGCTTTTCTGCAAGCACCTTAGTTTCACCTACGAACTCTTCATGTCCATTATTTCATATTCTTTCCATGTTTGATCGATCAGCAAAAGGTTCTCTGAAAACGTCCATTTCTTCTGCATGGCTTGACCACCTTGAAGTTGTGCCTAGATTCAATCATGATTTGACCATGATATCCGCCCTTTGCGTGCACCTGCAGCCCCTTTTTCTGGCTCGTAGTTGTGTGGATACCAATCAGACTGGCCCTCACCCATCGAGGAGCTCCAGTTCCTTGTGTCTTGTTTTTTCACGGGACGCCATGGAGAAGCCTGAGCCCGAGTGAGAGTCGACTGAAGGTAGCTGGCAGAGTTGTGCTTCAATGACGGAACCGAGCTCAACACGTGCAAGATGCAAGGTGATTTTGCAAGACCCGGACTTGCAAAACGTGCTTTAAGAGGGACGCTGAGGGTTGGAGCGGTTTTCGAGGTTTGAACAAAGCAGCAACAAGGAGATGGACGAGTCTGACAGGACGGGCGCTTCAGAGGGGTCATGCTGACCAGCGACTAGAGAGGGTTTCGGTACAGCGTAGGGTTTGATGTCCAGGAATCAGCAGCCAATGCAGATGGACCAGAACAACCAGAAGACTCATGCTGTGTGGCCTGGTTGAAAGCATGCACTAATCCTGTTTTTGTGGGTCATGCTACCCTCGAGAACCATTTGTGCCGGGGTCTAAAACAATAGCCATTAATGAGTTGGTGTGGGATGGTCAAGGAGTTGTGACCATTGTGCTGTGGTTCCATGAGAGTTTTTGGTGCATGAAAGCGGCTCTGGCCACTACGTCACTACGCCTGGTAGCTTCAAGCTGTCCTCTAAGGCAATCTGCGAAGCATTCAGAAGGAGAGAGGGAGGTGAAGGAGCAGAGGTGGGGAACGCTCAGAACCCACCTCCCTTCGAAATGCCGAAGCTTGAGATTCTCCTTTCCAGAGCTTCTGGTGGCTATGTTTGCACCTTGGTTCGTAGATCTCTGTCGCATGCAATGAAACTGGGTTTCTCAAATCTGCTAGCCTTCTAGCCTAGACTACACTCAGTGGCTTGGACGCTCATGAATGTTTGCCCTCCACCTTTAAAGTTTCAAACCCAGCGTTCCAGGGAGAAGGATGCTTGTGTTTCTTGGAGTGTCTCTCGGATTTCCGAAGGCGTCGAAGGGAGGGATGGGTCTGTAGCACAACCTTTCCGCAGGTACGCTCGTCGTGCGCAGAGCCGCAGCCGCAGCGCGCTCCGACAGGAACAGGAAGGCCCCAAGGCTTGGAATGTATTTCAGGAGTTCTCAAAAACCGGGCTGTGCATAGGGCGACCCAGGTCACTGTCACTCACAGTCTCTTGCAGAAACTACGGTTGTAAAGACCGCAGCCTGAAGAGGCCGAGAGTGAGGGCGAGGATGCGCCGCGCTTCTCGCAGCATTCGCGACGGCGGCACCATCGCCACCATCGCCGCTACGCGCGCCGCTCAAGCTGCAGGGAGACGGCAGATCATGCTCAGTGGTTGGGCGAGACGGGCTCGGAAGCCCCTGGGGAATCTTTTGAGATGCTTGACATTTCAACGGCTCTCAGACTTTTTGAGAGTCAAAAGGGGGGTGTTGGAAAAGAGCCGACAATGCTTGTGAAAGGTCTAGTGACTATGAGAGATTTTCAGGAGAATAGCATTCTTTCCCTCACACAAGACGATGGGAAAGATTTGAAATGAGCAGACTCAGATTCCGCAACTTTTGCCGGGCCAAAGAATCATGGAAGGTTTCTATCCATGCCCTTGGCACAAACTCCTTAGCGTGAGTTCAGTTTTTTGGGGTTTGGCACAGCCCTTTTCCAACCTTCTGGCTGCCAGACATTCGTCACTTGGTAGACCAGATGCCAATGATGCCATTGGACATCGGAGACTTCGTGCTCTTTGGCCAAAATCACTAGAGAAGTGCTTTTGAATCCAAAGGGCACTGCAGAACGCCTTCACAACCTGCAGTCTGTGATCTGTTTCATTTTTCGAGTGTTCGTGAGGTGTGCGCATCACTGGCCTTCTGTGACGACAACTCCTATCAACGGTGTTTTGAACTTGTTTAGCACAATCACAGCTTTGGCTTTTTGCGGGATTTTGCGGATCGGTTTGGCTGTTTCTACATGTTGTTTGTGAAAGCTGACCGTGTTGTCAGCTAGCATAGGAACAGCCGAAATCTGCAAGAGAACATCTGGGTGATGCGATTTTGGCACTGAGAGTGCTGGCAGATCAGTGAGCTTTGGCTGTAAGCAGTAGGGGCTCTTTAATTCATAGAGTGACATTGTGACATCTACAGCAGGTCCGAAATTGGTGAACCCAGATGGACACAGGTGGGCCCTCAAACTCAGTTGAACGCACTTCTGAAGCCCGATGCTCAAAGGCTTAAAGGTTAGGGAATCTGTGACCTTCAAATCCAGCTCGGTGCAGCCCTTTGATGTTTCCAGGCCTGCTAAGGCAACTGGAGAGATCAACATGAGTGGTGCCTTTTCTGAAGTCTGTTTCTGCAATGCTATGTTGGGTAGTTCGCTATTATTTTACTACTTGTTTCAGGTTTTCATCACTACCCAGTGGCGCCCAAGCGATTGCTCAGGCCTTCTAAGCGATTGAATGATATCCCTGGGCCTGTTGGCTGTTGCCGAGCCCAGTCGATTAAAAAACGACTCAGTCTTCGTCGCCCACCGAAGGAGGAGTGGTGCAAGCTCCTCTGCCGAAAGTCAGGATTACCTATTCTGGGGTGCTTGTTTTTGACCCGTTTGAAAGGTACAGACATTGGTTTGTGGCCTCGCAGCACCAATTTGGTCAATAGGATTGGAGGCCATGGAAAGGTCTTCTTTCCTTTTCATCACTGAGGCAGACGAAATCTGAATCCTGAAGTCATCCCCTATTTACCTTCTCAGACTGGCGCAACTTCTGGCGCAGCCTGGGTGTTGCTCAGAAGTACGATGGTGAAATGGCATAGACACTTTGTTTTTGTTGGCCAATTTGCAAGTCAAATCGGGAGGTGGGAAAGGGCTCCGAAAGCCTTCTGGCCCCAACTCAAACATGGAATCTGACAGATTAGATCACCCGGTCGCTTCGTGTGTGGGATGTTGGAAGCGTAAGAAAGCTAGAAAGACCTGACATGGGGTTGTCCTTTTCGAGTCTTCTTAGAGGACCGGTTGCAGCGCCGGTGCCCAGGCCGGGTCTCCCGGTGCCCCTCGCCCCATCGCCTGCGGCCGGCGGACTACGCGCAGCGCCGGCGCACCGTGGCGGCGGAGCTGGCCGAGCACTCCGACGGCGAAGGAGCGAAGGCCGGGGGGCCCAGGGGGCCCACGAGTTCTTCTTTTTGTCTTTTCTTTTTCTTAGAGCGGAGGTTGGAGAAGGGCTTTTTGGACTTGGGGAGTTGACCAGAGGTGTGACCTGGTCGTAGGTGTGAAGAAAGTGAAAAGACAATTGAAACGAACACAGGATTCCAGCATGAGATTCTGATGTCAATGACTCACTCGCTGGGATGCGCATTTTCAGCACTGAAATGGGAGAAAACCGCTCAACGTGATCCACACCGGGATTTCAATGCCGCTTTCGAGGCGTCAAAGCCGATCATTGGCCACAGTGGACTCAGCTTCCACTGTCCCTTCGTTTGGAAAACGGGAGAAACTGGTTGGGGAGAATGGATGGACATGGACGCTGAAAGTGACCACTTCCAGCCCGTGCTCCCGCCAGGCCGGCCAGGCTGCCTGGGCCGCGACGTGTGCCTGAACATGGCGGTCTGTGAAAAACAGCACGTCTGATTTCCGTCCAAGGACGGTTTTCCGCAGGGGAGGCACAGAGTTTCTGCCCCTGACCATGGTGGAACTTGATCAAACTTGGGGCGAGTTGGATGTGGACCTGACCGTGTTCGCGGAAGAGCTAGTTTAAGGACTCAAGTTCCACCATTAATCCCAAGAGGTCTGGAGAGGTTGGGCACGACTTTTGCTGGGCTTCGAGCCCATTTTTTGATACTATATAATTGAAATCACCGTGTTGATTAGACCTTTGCAGTACCTCGCCCGCTGTAAATATCAAGCCAAGTTTTCGAAGCTTGTTTCCGCTGGTGCATCCTCTTGTTCGTCATGGACGGGAGTCTACGGCGGCTACGGGAGTTGTTTGTCTCAATCTCCTAGCTCGGTGAGCTTGGCCTTCAGGGTCTTAGGAACAGCTGACTCTTTCGCCACCTGGCTTCCTGAAACATGAGAGCTTGAGGATTCCCCATGCACTGATACACTCCACACCACAAAGACCTGATTCACCTCTGCTGGTGTGTTCCAAAAGGAGTGGAGCCCGCTGGGGGTTAGCCATTTTCATTGCGAGTAACATTAAGTTCCTTTAGAGTCAAGAAGCTAGCGAGGTTCAGAAGTCCTCATCATCCTAACCCAGAAGTGGCTTGGAGTAGATAGAGAGCAGGTACGATGGATCAGGTACTTACAGAATACAGAACCCCCATCTGAACAGTTGTGGAGTTGTGGAGAGACGAACACCGGAACAAACCGTCCACCGGACCGAGGCATCGCTGCCACCCTTCCGCCTGGTGGACGATGCGGTGCGCGGGGGCGGACGGGGCGAGCTCGCCTTTTGAGGTGACAGATTCTTGACCTCCAGCCACCTCCCTTCAAGAATCAGGGACCTTGCGGTCATTGCGGTCATTGCTTGTAGGGGGTGTGTTGCACTTGCTGCCCAGCCCCGCTGGTACGCTGCGCGTTGTCAGGCGCGCGCCATCCATGGTCTCTCAGCACCCTCCTCGCCATCACGTGTTGCTGGCTTGTGAAGCTCATATGTCACACGGACAAGATCACCAGTCGCTAGTCAACGGCTCTTGTCCTTCAGTCTTGAACAGTTTGTCGATTGCTTCTCCATCGCCATTGCTTGCGGCGTGGGAAACCGCCAGGTTTGCCGCACGGCCTTCGTTTGAGCGTGCAGGAGGAGGAGCTTTTTGCGCGTGGTGTGGCGTCGTCAAACTCCGCTTTTGGGAGGTCCGAACGACACGGTTGCGGCAATATCCTCGGGTACCGGCAAAACGAACTCCGTGAGGAGCCACGTGTGGGTAGGTGAAGAAGGATGGTGAAGGTGGAAAGCACTCTCCGCGAGTGTGGTGAGGGGTGGCGCGAGTGGACACTGTTGGTTGGTGCTGATGCTTTTCCGCACAGGAAAAGCTGGTGACCGACTTCATAGGCCGGGAAAAAAAAGATGCTCGTGGTATGCATGGCCAGGGTGCACCAAAGTGCGTGGTCGTAGTCTTGTAGTCTTGGGAGTTGGTTGAATTGGAGCTTTCCTGTGTCAATTCACAAGCCCTGCTTGTCGACGCCACCAAACTCGGAAGGTGCCATGCTTCAGCTGAACCTGTCGCTGCCTCCTGATCCCAAGGCCGGTGAAATTCGAGGTCTGTGTTTGGCACCAGAGCTCCGGCGGAAGGATGTCCATGGTTTCTTAAACTTTGAACACTCACAGCATCTCAATAGCAAATCTGCCAATGTAGGTTAAGAGGGTAAGTTTCACATAATATCTAAGAAAGCATTTAATTTTATCGACTCCCCCCCTTCTCGAAACGGAGCCTGCTAGTTCTTGAGGCAAAGTTTGCCCCAGCCTCCTTGGAAGACTCCGCGAAGGATGTGCTGCTAGGCGGGCGGCGTTGGAACGGTGGGATTTAGAGCTAGAGCGGAGACCCGTGTCTTTTACAAGCAAGCAACATTACCTTTGGGCTTTTTGGAAGACGTTTTTTTGCAAGACTGCTTTGATTGACTTGATTGCGGATCAAGTCATGGTCGTTTGTGTTTCTTGTTGTTTGGCGTGTTCACAGAAGAACAAACCAGTGAATTTGACTGCAAGTACCGATGCCTGCATTCATGGCAGCAAGCAGCATGATCAACAGTTGGCAGCAAAACCTGTAGGTTCTATCTGACTCACACAATATACAATTGCTTTAGCTGGAAGGGGTGTTAGGTGTTTTCTGTTAAAAGACGTCGTAACACCTTAGAATCCTTGGAAGGGTGGGAATTCCTTTGGATGAGTCTTCTCGTACTGTGATGTTGTTATTTCTTCATTTGGTGGCGTCATTTCTTTTTGAGGAGCTGCATGCCATGCAGAAACCACCAAAATGACTCCAAATCGACTCACCATCATGTCTTGTGCAAACCATCCTTTCATCCCCCGTTTCGAGGCGGTGCACCCACGCGGAGTGAGGTGCACACTCGGACATTTTTTTTCCACCCAAACTCGGTCGAGCTGAAGAGCTGAAGAGCTTCTTTGGAGCCAACGAAACGACCAACGAAACGGAAACGCAGTGTTCACGTCCAACCTCTTGCGATCCGCGAGAACAGCATTTTCTATGGGAAGAATTTTGATCCTGAGAACATGGAAAGTGAAAGAACAGACCACCAAGAGAGTGTCGGACATGTCACGCAGGCACCCTTGCTGGCCCTTGCTTGCAAAGACGGAGTATTTTTCTTTTTGCGCAGCCCATCACTTTCAACTCCTGTCCCAGTTCAGGTCCTGAATGCTTTCTGTGATGCTTTCTGTGGGGCAGGTGCCTCGTGTTCTCTCACAGAGCGCAGATTGCCTCCGCTGGAACGCCGCTTTGGCTGGGTTCCCAGAGACAACGTGCAGTCTCTCTTTCGAACTTAGAACATCTTCAAACAGACCTTTTGTGCCTATGATGAAGAGCTTCTTTTCAAAAAACCAGTCTACTCCACGTAGTTGTGACCGGCGCACGCACAAAAGCGTGTCCTTGGTGTCTTCAGTCGTACTTAGGCGCTCTACGTGTTGGGAATGGACTTGGCCCCGCTCTTCAAGGTGGAAAAGCAGTGGACGTGACGCTTCGAAGAGGAAAGCAAAAAATCAAAATATGTATTTTTAATCAACTGAACTCATAATCGTTTATAGTTTTGAACTTTTTGTCCACCAACGCTGGATGATGTGGGTGAGTCTGTGCTTTTTGGCATCCGCAGCACCAAGTCGGTACTTTGTTCCTGGAACCGCACTTTCACGAGATCTCTCAAACTGGTTTCGGTTTTGGGTTAGACCGACCTATTAAGAAGAAGCTTACCCTTTCCAGAAAAATACCTCGCCTGCCTTCTTCCAAAAGAGTACGCCGCTTGTGCAGGATGCCTTCCAGAGCTGCATGGCACGCTGGCAGAAGCGAAAGGAGCAGGCGAAGGCTCCGTAGAGCGAAGCAAACGCCACGTGAAGTGGGGCGCTGAAGGGCGTGAAACCCGGTGAGGGCGAGAAAGAGCAGATGCATTTGGGTTCCAGCCGGCTGCCCAAACTCATATCATCCAACATGCCCTTTATTGATGCTGATTGTCATGTGAAGGGCTCGATGCCTTCAAGATTCTCAGATTGTTTCTCGTGTTGGTTGGGGATGTTGAGGTGAAAAAGCTGTTCCACGTTTGGCAATGAACGCCTGGCCTACTTAACCGACCACCCCACCGAAAACTCGTTCAAACTTCTTTCGTTGAAGGCCTGCATTACAAAGTCGTTCCATCACTGCGCCAGGGTGCAGCTGTTGTTTGCACTCGGTTTCAATGGCCATTCAATTGATGATGACTGATGTCTATTTGTGCTTCTCCGGGATACCATCATTTTCTAGCAAGTACCTTTTGCATCAACTCAGAGTCCCCTTTAAACAATTCTGTTCAAGACACTCGTTGAAGCTATTGTGAGAGATGAATGTGTTTTTTGATCTTTTTGCATTTTTTTTGTAAGATTTGTAAGGTTTGATGATAAGTGAGTTCAAGCTTCTAAGCATAGGGGGGGTTCTTTGTGCAAAAGATGTGCTTGCATCCGCCCCAACGTCGTGCTATATCGCCAAGTAGCATCCATGAAAGCTGCCAGTCAAGGAATTCTTGTTCACTTCATTGACACAACGGATGCGAAGAGGCGGTTGGCATTCCAGACTCCAGACGCGCCTCTTCAGCAACTTTGTGTGTACAAGCGCACTCTTCCGTTCAGGTGCTCTTGGCCCAGGATGTGCTCCAACGTGCAGGCGTAAAATAGCCTCAGTCACAGTCCAGTAGTTAGATGCTGGGGGAAGGACCATCTTGCTACCTAGGACCTAGTCCGTGTTGAGTCTTGACTGACTCCTAATATCCTTACAACAGCAGTTGCCTGCTCTAAGTTGGCCTTCCCCCATGGCTTGCATGGTGAATGGAATTCGGGCACCCTCCTTCGGTCCATCGTGCGACCCATGAACAGGAGCCCACGAGTAGGCCTCGCCTCTCCGCGGCCATTTGGCGATCGGACGGACGTGCATAGCTCCCTCGGGGGAGCCACCCGAGTGAAGACCGCTCGGTCAAAGAAAGACCGCCACCGATCACCGTGCACAGCAAAAGAAAGCTGAGTTGGCTTGACGTTGAGTAGGTCAGAAAGTGCACTTGAGCGCCATGGATGCTAAAATGCCAGTTTTCTTCTCCAGTTCGTCCGATCTTCCAGTTGTTTCCCCGTGGGCTCCGACGTCAGTCTGGCTCAAGTGGACCCACCGACTGGCGCCTGCAACGCCTGGCGCGGGGCGGCTGGTGCCTTGCTCCCTGGTCGTCGGACGACTCGTTTGGAGGACGACCGACGACAGTGACGCGATGTACGGAGGATTTTGGGGCCAGAGAACGTGCATGCTGCAATATAGTGAGGCCATGGCGGCCATGTACATGTATAATGTAGTATCATATAGTTGTGATCACGGTGATTACCATGTCTTTGGAGTTGAGTGCTGTGGATTTTGGCGCTGTGACCAAGATCCGAATTCTCGCTCTGCATGGACATGTTGGACATGTACAACTTGCAAGGTTTGTGTTAGCTAGCCACTCATTGTGGTCACTCTAAGACAACCCTAAACCCCAAAACCCAAAGACCGACCAAAATCAGAGCTCACCCGTAGCATGGCACAGGTCTTGGGCACAGGTGCGCCCGGCGCCACTCGCCTCGTCCCGTCCGAGGTCTGGGGACCATGGCGGATGCCTCGCTCTCCTCGGCGGAGGCCATCATGGCCGACGCCAAGGTGCTCACGTGCCGCGGCGACGCGAGGAGTGCGTGGCCGGCGAAAAAGGAGACGGGTCGGTTCCGACGTTCCGAACGGAGCAAAGGGCATGGCTACGAACGGAGCGATCGGACGCTACGTTCGGGGCTCCTGGCCTTACTAGCAACAAGAAGCAACGTTCGGGTGGAGGCCGGTTCCCTTCCCACGACGAGTTCGTCCAGAAAGGACCATCCACTTGAAAAGCTCTTTTGGCACCACAGGGGCACAGCAACAGGGCACTTGCAAGCTCTCACACCAGGGGTTATGAGGGCAACTTGAGACCTTGCGTTGCAGTCGATCCGGCCGCAGCTGTCTCTAAACGCAATTCAGATCAAACGCTGTAACCCAGGTGTGCCATTGCCATGGCAGTCTTCAGTAAGATGTCAGGACGTCGTACCGCTGTGCCACTGGTGTTGGGTGCTGCTGCTTTGGCAGCGACCAGCTTTGTGGTTCCAGGGGCTCCTGTGCAACAAGTGTCTGCCCGGACTCCAGTGACTGCTCAGGCGAGGCCAAGGTTTGAGTTCATGTGTAAAGAATGAGCAGCTCATGACCCTCAGGTCTAGTTCGGAGTAGGCTTCCATTCAGAGATTTGATCTGACTGGGTGGTCTTGAAGGTCTTGGCATGCACAGTCATTTAAGGGTTCGGATTTGTGTTTCTTTCTTTCAGGTGAAGCAAGATGCA